ATATACAAACATTCATGCACATAAACTCTTTTCTTAAACATCTATATGCAAACATTCATGCACATAAACTCTTTTCTTAAACTTGAATACAGGAATAGAATACTGGGATTTTAGGGCGTATTCTCAAAGGTGGTAAATGCCCAAGTGTCCTTTCGGTTACTGAGAGAGTTTACTACGCGCCTGTAAGAACGGCCTTTATCCTTGGCCAGTTAGAGTCTGCCTCTGCTGTGCTGGAGTTGAGTGCCTGGCCTCTGCCACAGGAAGGCAAGCTGGGCAGAGAGCCTGGTGGCAGAGGCAGCTGCTCTCAGAGCAGGTCCTACTTTAACAGTTCTTGTTTGTTGTTGGGTTGTTTACCAGTGTTCCCACTCAGTGCCTCGCCTTTGCTATTGGGCAGATCTCAATGTTTAATTCAAGAACAAATGTTAGACCCTAATCGCTTATTAAATGAGTCTGTCCCTTCTGCTAATGCCCTTTTAAGTTAGCAGTTAATGCCTTATTTTTCCTTGCCTCTGTCAAGAAGCCAATGCATTCTAGACTTCATGCCTCCTCTACATGCTTTTGATACTGGGATTTCACTGATCCCTTCTTGGACGACCGTTGGTTGTCTTTCTGTCTTCTGTAGCCAGCTCCAGTTTAGCCTTAAACTCCCATAGAATCGCTCTTCTCATTGCCACTTCTCAGGTCCCACTAACTTAGCCTTGGAGAAATTTGACCAGCTGTGAGCCTTTCCTTAATTTAGCCTCCCTTCTTGGCCGAGCCTATGTAATGAAAGAGGGTGTGCTACTGCCATCTACTGAGACAAGAAAAAACTGCAGTTGACAAGTAAGATGCACATTTCAGGTAGTTTGTTTAAAGGATTTCTGACATAGTCCATAAATGAAAATAAACAATGCCACAGCAGTTGTTATTTTTAAGTGTGCCATTTCCCACATAAATTGGTGGTTTGACTCCTAGTATGACAATCACCATGAGGCCCTGGACCCAGGCTGGGTCATATAGTTCACAATATTAATTCTGTTTTGAAGATTGTGCTGTCAACACATCATTGTCAAGTTAATAGCTGTTCCACGTGTTCTCAGGAGGATTTGACATTTTAAATATCAATTAATATGTTGTTTTAACTTTTTGAAATATTTCAGAGACTGTAATGCAGGTGCCTTGGCAAATCCTAATGTAGCATACATTTTTGGCCCTCTTTCACTGGCCAGTGTAGCTGTGTGCCTTCCGGAAGATGGTTAACTCTGAAATGTTACTTTCAATAAATGCTTTGCCAGGAAAACAGTCGTTTCACTCTGTTCAGTTAGTTGGTGTTTTGGTTGGTTGGTTGTTGGTCAGTCGGTTGGTTTAGTGGTGGTGTGGGGGATTGCGTGAGCCAGGGCTCTGCCTCTGAGCTACACTCAAGTTAGTTCCATTCATTCTGTCAGTTGCCTCTCTTTATGAAAAGTACTTCCTGTGCAGACACCTGCTGGAGCATTCTGTGAAGCTAATGCCCGAGTGCACCAACGCAGCAGACAGTCAACAGCCGGAGCCTACCCCTGCTTTGCCTTTAGAGCCCTGGCACTCCGCTTTCCCTGAAGAGCAGAGTAGTTTTCCTCAGTGGCTTAACCTTCCAGCAAATCTCTTTGTTCTCTTCTTCCTCTAAGCATCAGAACTAGACCGTGTGTGTATGTGTTTGTGTGTGGGGGGAGTGTGTGTGGGAGTGTATGTGTTTGTGTAGATGTAAGTATGTGTGTATATATGTATGTGTGAGTGTGTGTATGTGTATGGGAGACTGTGTGTGAGTGTATGAATGCATGTGTGTTTGCATGTATGTGTGTGTGTGAATGTGTATATGTGTGTGTGTTTTACTGATATAGCTGCTGCCTCCCAGTTGTAGGATTTCATCCTTATAACACTGTTTCGAAGGTAGAATATATATGTGTGTGTGGAACATGGTGGAACATAGCTAGAGTCCCCAGCACTTGGGAAGTGGAGGGAGGAGGGTCAGGAATTCAAGGTCATCCATCCTCTGTTACACAGAGTTCAAAACCAGCCTGGACTTCCTTGTCTCAAAAAAGAGGGGGGACCCTAGCTCCCATGGCTCGATGTCAGCCTTGATCGTGTACCCTCTATAATCTATACTATCTTCAGCCCTTCACTCCAGATAATGTTCTGTCACTACTTTTGCTCACACACAAAAATCTACCAGGTAATTTAGATGCATAGTTATGGCTGGAAACCACTACACACTTAGAAATAGGAAACTGGCTGGAGCATGCCTTTTATCCCAGTACTCAGGGAGGCAGAGGCAGGTGGATCTCTGTGAGTTCATGGCCAGCCTGGTATACAGAGTGAATTCCAGGACAGCCAAGGTTACACAGATAATCTGTCTTAAATAACACACAGAGAGAAATGGGAAACGGTCATTTGAAACAGGTATTTTTCACAAGATTCATTCAATCATTCATTCACTATTTTTGGTTTTTGAGACACGGCTTCTCTGTGCTGACCTTGAACTCAGAGTTACACCTGCCGCTGCCTCTCCAGTACTAGGATTAAAGGTGTGCCCCATCCCTCCCAGCTATTTTTATTTCTGCGATTTGCCACCAGGTGGTATGCGAGCTTCTCTACATCCTTATGTAAGAGAAAAGGATGTCTACACGCAGCAGAACTCCTGCCCCATCTAGAGGATCGCTTTTTCAGAATTCAGACTGAACATGTTTGTAAGACCCAGGCTTAGGTCCCAACTGTTGGGCTCTGACACAGTGAGGGGCAATGTAGAAGGACTGAGACAGTCTAGGTACAAAGCAGGTGTCCTGCTGAGCAAATGGTTTTCACACCACATGGTCTTATTTCACCCCCACAGTCTGGAAGGAGGAGGGAGCCTCATTTCCATGACACATCCTGCAGCACCCACTCAGTAACAGGTGCCCAGGTCTGCCTCAAATCCAGTTTTTTGGTTGCTTGTTATTGTTGTCGTTGAAACAGGATTTTTTAAAAAAATGTAATCCACACTGCTTCAAACTTGAGGTCCCCCTGCCTCTACCTCCCCAGTCCTGGGACTGCAGGTGTGTGCCACCATGCCCAGCCATGTGTGACTTTTCATTGCCACACCTCTCCCAGGGCATGTACCCAGCCTACAGAACCTTCACAGCTGAAGGACAGGATCAGTGAAGTCGGGGTCTGGAGAGACCCCCCAGGCTTAGGAGCACGGGCCGCTCTTGGAGAGGACCTGAATCCCCTCCCCAGCACACATGTGTGGCTCAAAGCTATCTGGAACTGCAGTTTCAGGGGAGCCTACACCTCCACAGACACTGTGTTCACATATTCTAGCAAACACTCATACACATAAAATGAGAATAAACACAGTTTTCAAAACACACTACTCTCTTCCCCTGTGGGTTTGGTTGTAAGCCTCGCCTTTAACAGCTGAGCCCTCCTTTCAGCCCGTACCACTCCATCCTGTGACAGGCCAAAAGGCACTTGAAGGCTGCAGTGATGGCCGCAGAATTCTCTCCCAGAGCCCTCGAAGTCTGAGCCCCCAGTAAACACGGGTCGTGGGCTCTCTGCATGCCCGGGAGGTGGCCACGATACAGAGAAAATGGCTCAGGAGGAGGAGAGGCGGCCCCTATGCCTGACTTGATTTTCTCCACTAAGGTCAAATCTAGGCGCTGTCCTCTGTCCAAGCACAGCCATACTCTGGACTGCAGTGCAGCGGGCAAAGCCAGGGATGACCCCGCTCCAGGACAAAGCTGGGCTGAGGCAGGGAGGCAGCCTTTCCCCTCGATGTGGAGCCCCGCCGCCACTCCAGGGCCGGTGGACCCAGACAGCTGTGAGATCTTGAAGACTGCTGAAGCTCCAACAGTCAGAACAGGGTTGCACCGATGAGCTCTGCTCAGAGACTGGAGAGACATCTCCAGATTCCACAAGCAACACCCATTTCTTTCCCCACACTGTGAATCATGGTGGAATCATCATTGACTCAAAATGCTTCTTACCTGGCTTTTCAATGATTCAGTTTGCCTTCTGTTCTATGCACACAAGTAAGCAGGACTACTAGCTTGAAATAATTATATTAAAAGATACATTACTTCATTTGCAAATAAATCCTGCTGACTTATCAAAGAATGAACTGGTATGCTAGTGGCAAGGAAAAGCACACCAGGCTAAGTAACAGCCTGCTCTACATAATAAGTTCCAGGGCAGCCTGGGCTACATGCTGAGACCCTGTCTCAAAAAAGTATAAAGAAAGAGAAAATAAAGAAAGACAGAGTTAACAAAGATGTGTTCGCTTTGGATTATTTTAAACTGGGCTTCCAATTAAAGCATTCCTTCTACAATCCTTACCCTTTTAAAAGCAGAATGTCAAGTTTCACTGCAGGCAGCATGAGCCGCCATGCCTGCTATCCCCCTCAGGACCACTTACTGTGTTTGGGGGACTTTGACTGTAACAGCTTTGTTCCCTTGCTGGGTTTCTTTGGTCAGTTTTTAAAATAAAGATAGCTTTACAATGGCTTGTCATCCTCAGGCAGGGGCTTAACCAGTTCTCTTTGTGCTGCTTCAGTGCCACACGGGCACTTTACTGTTAAAGCTGAGTCTGGCTATGAGGCCCGAATTAGCACTAAACTCCTGGGTTCAAGTAATCTTTCTGCATCAGCCTCCCAAGGAGCTGAAATCACAAATATGAACGTACTACTGAACCTGACTTTCATAGACAACTGTTCTGAGACAGTGCAACCTGTTAAAACAAAACAGAACAGAAGAACAAAAAACAGAGAGAGGCAGGGCACAGTGACGCTTACCTTTAATCCCTGTAGTTGGAAGGTAGAAGCAGGTTGATCTCTGTGAGTTCAAGGCCAGCCTGTTCTACATAATTGGGACTACATAAAAGGAGCTCCTTCTCAAGAAAACAAAAAACAAAATAAAGGAAAAAGAGAGAGATGAGATTATAGCTGCTTAATGAAAAGTTTTCTTTCACTGTAAAA